AGGCGGGGCTGCCAGGCAGAGAGAATAAACAGGAGGAGAAATCTGGGCTTGAGAGGAGAAGGAAAGGGACACACCTGGGGCCAGAAGCCAGGCAGACGCCAGCCAGACATAGAGAAGCAGTGAAAGTAAGTTATAAAGAAGTAAGAAAGGGAATAAGCCCCGAGGCAAAAGGTAGACAAAGAAAAACAGGTTAATTTAAAACAGCCAGAAGCCGGGTGGCGGTGGCGGGGGCGGGGGGGGGGGGGGGGGGCACCCCCCCCCGCCCCCGCCCTCCCCCGCCGCGGCGGCCGCCGTGAGTTTGAGACCAGCCTGGTCTACAACAGCTAGCTCCAGGTCAGCCTCCAAAGCCACAGAGAAACCCTGTCTGGAGAAAAAAACAAAACAAAACAAAACAAAAAAACACCAAAAAACAAAAACCAAAACAAAACAGCCAGAAGCATGCCTAAGCTAGGCCGAGCATTCATAACTAATAAGTCTCTGTGTCATGATTTGGGAGCTGGTTGGTAGCTCAAAAGAAAAAGACACATAGTCCTCATGAGTAGGCCAGTTGAGAAGCACTGCACTGAACTTCTAACCCATCTCTTCAGCCCTTACAATTATTTTACATTTATTTCGGGGGTACATGTGTGCCATGGTGCATTTGTGGTCGGAGGACAACTTGCAGGTCAGATCTGTCCTTCCATCCTGTGGACTCTGGAGATTGACCTCAGGCATCAGGCTTGGGAGACAGTATCTTTATCTGGTGAGCTATCCCACCAACCTTACTGTTTGAATTTTTATTTTTTCATTTATATGTGTGGGAGGGCATGCCATGTGCACAGAGGTTGGAGACCAAGTTACAGGAGTTGGTTCTTCCTTTCTGTCACCCGAGTTCCAGGGATTGAACTTGGGTCTAGAGTCTTGGCCCTATGTCACTTTTGTTTTTTAATGCATGCCAGCATAGGTAAGTGCATGTGTGTGGAGGCTGAAGGACACCTTGGGTGTCATCCTCAGGACCACAGTCACCTTCTTTGAGACATGATGTCTATTGAGACAGGGTCTTACTATATACCAGCTGGTCTGGAACTTGATAGT